TATATAATTATTTTAACAAATAATCGTTTTAAACATTCGCTAAATATTTTAGTACAAAAATAATAAACTACATTATTCTACTAGTAAGAATATTAGTGCTTTACGTAGTTTTAACTTCAACTACAATCAATACAAAGTGGTTACTGTGACACAAAAAACGAAAATGTCCCGAAGAGCACGCAGATATCAATAATCCTGAGATTCTAATTACCTACCTACAATCTCAAAAAACAAAAGTGACAGACTCACTAGGTTCGTTACTACTGCAGTATAATAATATTGTTTTGTACATTCAAAAATAGTAAAATAGTTGGTTCTTGCTTCATATAGTGAGTGGCGCAATATATGAAATGGACATGGTAGAGCCGCGCTGCGTACTGCAGCTTCTTTTATTTCATAAATGAACGAAAAGAACAATGTGTACGAGAACATGATTAAGTAATTCGCTAATTTTCGTTTATCGATTCGTTAATTAAGTCTTCTCGTAATCACTTGTATATATTGATTGCTCTTCGCAAGCTGTCATATTATTACAAGTAGAATGTATGACCATACGGGATTTTTTTGTTTGTTAGTGGAGACTTACTTTGAAAATTTTTAATATTGGCGAATACTTCATTTTAATCGTCTTTGTGATAAAAAATTCTGTTTTTATTTTCTACTGTACTCTACACAAGGACTGCAAACTGTTGTCACCTGTCGTTTGGTATTCTCTTAAAAGAAAAAACGTCGAACGTAATTGTTAACTTTTGCATGAAATGGATCCAACAAGTGAGACTATAGAAATATCTCAGACTGGTCTTTGTCTGCCACTTGAGGAAAACTAATAGTTGCATATTGATTGTTATCGATTCCTGTTATCGCTCTCGAGTTCGAATTGTTTTGCAAGCATTTGTCTTGCCTGTTGTTTTCATGTAGGTAGTAATAAATTTTACGTCTTTTTTTTAACATATATTTATGTATATACAATAATACCTTTTTAACTAGTACCTCATAGCAAGGATGTCTTCGGATGGACCGAAAATTGAAACCGTTAATTTGTGCGCATTATTTAACTTATGACTGTGCTTCATATAAAAATAACTATGTAAGAATGTTTGTATTCGCTGGAATTTTAGACTTTTTAATGAAATTCTTCAGTACAGATGCAGTTCAATCCTTATACAGTATAGGGATTTTTTGCATTTATTTATGCGAATACTACACCATGTTAAATAAACTACTTTATCGTTTTAACCCGATAATGTTTGTTTTAAATTCCCAAAATCTAGTAATATATAATTAGTTGACAAATAGAGATCCTTCTTTTTTCGCTTTTTTTAATAAATGACATAAATAAATAATAATGTTATAATTGATATAAATAAATGGTATTGTTATGAAAATAATCTTATAACAATACATTTATGTCGTCTATTTACATATTGTTTATGATAGCACAAAGTAATAAAACAGAATTAGTCTTGTATTATACTGAAATGAAGTTTGAACTGTTGAAAATTCAAATTAAAAATATCATAATCATACCATTTAACGGAATATCACATTATGCAGTCGCGAAAATGCAAATTCTCAAATTATTGTAAACACTTATGATAATATCTAACTGCATGTAAATAACAATGGCCACGCCACAATTGCAAAAATAAGTTGTTGAATACAATTTGTAAATTAAAAATATAATTATTTTATGTCAAAAAAAAGTATGGAAACACCGCAGTCGGTAGGATTCGAACCTACGCTCCCAGAGGGAATCTGATTTCTAGTCAGACGCCTTAACCGCTCGGCCACGACTGCTATGACGATACATGTCAAAGTACGGCTTCAATGTTAAAAAGTGTTTTAAAGTTTTGATTATCATTAAACAAAGAGTTAAAGTACAATTATAAATGAATATTTCTATGCTTTATTATTTATGGGTGCGGCATGGTTTTTGTGTACTCAGTGAACTTGGCGATGTTTCGGTAGCAGGTTTTAACTCCAGTAATGTATGCAAATGACTTTTCAGTGTTTAGAATTTTGTACCTGTTCAAGTTCACTGTTGGAATCTGTCACGTTTGGTAACAACTTAGCTTTACGTACGTTTGACCAAGCTTGGATAAGAAAGTAATGAATTTTAAAAAGTTCTTTGAGTAAGTAAAGTCCTATCTTAGGAAGAGAGCGTGTGCTTTTTATTTTTTTGGCGCCTTCTAAAACTATGGCTTATTTGAATCTAAATTAAGAATTGCGTATTTATTTGTCAAACATTCATAATGCATATATCTTAACAATTTTCTTTCTAAAAAACTAAAATAACGGATATAGGCGATATCGAAATTATTGATTTAGATTTTATTCTCAAACATATAAATTAAAGTCTTAAATTACAATTATATTTCTACGTAATCGTCTAGTTCACATGAATCCGTTATTTAATAGGGATAGATATTCACCGTATTCTGAATGTCTTCGGTAGTTTAGTTTTCACACAATCCTAATATGAATAAAAGAATTGATGTGCCCCTGAACATACGTCGTGTTATACGTCATGTTATAATAAAACCAGCTAAATGGAATAAGATCGCCATTTTCATCAAACCGACACACGGCGCCGTGGCTTAGTTGGTTAAAGCGCCTGTCTAGTAAACAGGAGATCGCGAGTTCGAATCTCGCCGGGGCCTATAGTGATGTAAACGCGTCTTTTTTAAATTTTTTTTCTTGTTTTTTTTGTTTTGTTCTTTTTTTTTATTTTTTCTCTTATTATGGACATAAAAAAATTGTATTTATTAATTCATATACATTTAGAATAAAAATTTGTAAGAAAATATTATCGGGAAATATATGCAATAAAACCACAAGTCGTTTTCACTCGTATATTGTTGATATTTTAAAAATTAAATATTTACACATTTACAAGGGTCATTTTCACAACTCTTACTTAAAAAGGTGGCGGAGACGAAATACTTGTGTTTAAGGTAACATACACAAAATTAAAAAAAAGAAGAACTGTCTCGATTATTTTAGTATATTTTTACAAATCTCGGACTTCACAAATGTTGATATTTAATTAAACGTGATATCATGAACATTTAGCAGACAATCATTCAATAACTTTATTAATGTCATAACATATTTCAATAAATATTTCAATAATCTTAAGTAGCATACATACATCCCCTTCGTTCGGTAAATAATCGTAACGCTAAATGACTCATTGAAGCAATCCCGATGAGTAATATACCTCGCTTAACAATCGCGTTGAAAAATCCACTCCTCGAAAATCGGAAGTATTTTATAACAGTGTTAATAATAAAATAAAAATGTAGCAATTCTTTGAGCACTAGGGCGAATTCATACTGTATACAATGGTTGGATTCTGTGAATTTTATCACATCAGGGCCTGCCGAAGATAGATCTGAGAAATGACCAGAAATGACAACGCATATATATCTATCTACACGTCTATTTCGATAATATTTATTTAAGACCCTCTATAGCAATGAGGACGAGAAAACAATGTAAAGTCTAGGCGAGAATACCGGAGATTATAAATTCTAGAAATATCTATCTAGAAAAATAATTGCATCTGAAGAAAAAAAATATCGAAGATGTAACATCTCAAATGTCTGACGTTTTAACTTTAGCTGTATTATTGTTTGTTTAATAATGGCACGACACAAACTATGGCTATAATTTTAACGCAAATAAATAATACTGCTATTTCTGTGTGTTTTATAAGGTTATGATATACATTTTGGTCAATATTAAAACGGTGTTCCTATGCTATATACATTGGGTTTAAAGTTTACTAGAAAAGCATTCGAAGCTTTGCGGGAATGGAGTACTATAAAGCCATTCCGCTTACTTCCCAACTTTTAGTCGCGGCGAAGCGCGTGCCAAGATGGAGTCGAGCCCAAATTTTTATTTAGAACTGGCGTAATTGATGTTATTTTCAAGTTTCACGAAACCGACGCAAAGCTAAAAGAATGAGAAAACCCAAGATTAACTTTTCATTACATTCCTGTACCAATTTAATTTTGTAACGAATAAACAACTCGTTTTTAAATCGGGGTTATGGTTAAAATGTCGATTCTATCATTAGAGATCACTTCAATGAGTCAATAATATTCTAAATCAGCGTTTAGTCCCGTCACGAGATATCAGCAAAAACACGAAATCATTGATGCTACTTTGGCACTACTAACTGTGCCGCTTAAGACTTTAATACTATTTAGGCAATTGATACTTTATTTACACAAGTTATTATTAAATTGAAGTAACTCCAGTCTTAACAAACAAAATGTACATTCACTTCAATCGAACACAAATAAACATCTAAAACTTTCATAAAATCTGAGGCACATTCAATATACGTCGTACAGTATTCAATATTATCACCTAAAGTTATATACAAATAATCTTTCTAATTCTAATATGGCAGTACTGAGGTTTCGAATAAACTTACAATAGGTCGAAAGCGACTGTCACACACGCCCGATTTGTCTGTATCCAAAGATATTACGAAATAAGCGCTGTTATAAAATTAAACGAGAAATTGGGTGAATTACAACTGCATTGGGCTCGTTAACTTTTCGAATGCCCATATCCATTCAGGCCGTTCGCACGTTATGCGACGTTGCCGTTTCGTTATTAAAAATTCGCGCGCAAAACGCACATGCCACGAATTTACGGCGCCATAAAAAAGACCTTTATTGCGTTCGCAACATCGCACACCGCACGAGCGGCTATGAGCGGGCGAGTTAATGGAAATCGAAATGTGTGACAGCGGCTCCGTAATAAACATCTCTAATGTACAAATCAATAAAACACCTTTATAAAAATCAGTCTGTTCAACGCGTGAGTGAAACACGTCCTGCACTGCGCACAATCACGTTGGTGATGCGACTACTGTTCTAGTTCTAGAACATTCGGTACTGTTTCCGCACTGTTCTTTTAGTTCTAGAACGTCGTGGAACAGTTCCGACGTAGTCTTTGGTTTGTCACGTAGTCTGTAGCGATTACACGAATCGCGTCAGCTGCGTGTGGAAATCGCGCAGGAAGGTCTGCAGTTGGGGCAGCGTTGGCCGGTCGTCGGGCGACATCGCCCAGCAGTACGCCATCACGGCGAACCTATAAGAGAATGTTAATTTAGCACTGTATACGGAATCTGTCATTTACTAATATTTAATTTGTATTTTTCTCACGTTTTTTTCCAATTCGAACCAAACTTAGAGTGAGATATATTGGCACCAAGACGACGGAAGGGTCTTATATAGTATAAGCGTACAAAGTTGTAAATCAAAAGTTTTTCAGATTCTTATGTATTAAGCATCACAGTTTTACCGTATCAATTAACATCAAAATGGGACTACAAGAAAAGATCAGAGGCATACACATAGGCGATATTAATAATTGGTATGGTATTGGTTCGATGGAGTAGTACCGCGTATTGGCTTAAATTAGGCACACAACACACAAATGCACGCGAGTGAAATGTGACTATGATGCACAAACTGACAACGTCGAGCTGTTCGGTTGCGTGACTCCGAACGGGACAGCTATAAAGAAAATCAAGACAAATTACTGGGGTGTAGCGAACGTTGCCAAAACTCGAAAAATACTCACAGCTCGTCGGGGCAGTTGGCAGGCTGCTGTAACCGATAGCCGTCCCTCAAATAGGCGGCCACCTCGAAGGGGTCTACTTCGGCATAAGGCTGGTGGGCCAACGTGGTCAGCTCCCACAGAAGTACCCCCAACGCCCACACGTCCGCCGCCGGGCTGAACAGCCTCTTGGACAACGACTCCAGCGCCAGCCACTTGATCGGCCTGTTCTCGTTGTCACCCAAGCAGTGGTAATCGGCCGGGAACAGGTCTCGCGAGAGGGCGTTGTCGGCTATCATCACGCGGAGATTTTCGTCCACACTGGTAGTAACGAAAATTATCCGTTATACACACGTCGACATGTTTTACAAAAATGTAAACAGGCAATCCTGACAGAGTCCTGATCCAGATTTAGAGGTCTAGGTAGTAATTCGGAATTCGTCTTTGGCTGTGGAGTGTCCACGATACTTACACACCACTTTTAAGTGTTCCACATTCATACATCAAAACACAAATACGCTCGTCGCTTACCGGTGCGTACCATCAACCCTCAGTGTATCGCCAATGTGTTTATTACTTTATTACATAAAGATACAGTGATTTTTTTTTCTAATATAGCTTAATATAATTTTTTTCTAAATATTCAGGGTATGACCATAGTTCCTGTTTCTGTTCCAATATAGTAAAATGTAACCATTAAAAGTAAGCCACTTACAAGTATTGTGCATTAACAGGTATTAAGCACACGTTCCTGGAAAAATCCGACAAAGACTTCATTCTATATACTCACATGCAGTTTCTAGCAGCGATGTCCTTATGTAATACGTGCTGGGAATGTAAATACGCGAGCCCGTCCAGCGCGTGAAGGGCCATCCGAACGACGTGCTGAGTGGTGAGGGGGGGAGGTTGAACGCCCCCAACAGCGCCCCCCACCGTCACACCGCGGCAAGCGAGGAGGAACTGTTTCAGATTCCTCCAACCGCTGTTCCAAGGGTACAGTAGGAACGGTGCAGTTTGGTCCTCGATGCTTACGCCGAGAACCGACAACACCTTCTCGTGATGAAGCCCGTAAAGCATGCAGCCTTCTTGCAGCAACAACGATACCTAGAAATAGGGTGTTTGTTACATGTCTAATCATTATCGTAAAAAGCTATTAGCCCGTGTGGCGAGTAATTACCTGCACTTGGGAAGCGTGTTCCGCTACGGTCTTGACCAACACCTCTTGCTCTCTTCCGTCCTCGTCGGCGTACGTGCCTTTGTACACCCGGCCAAAAGTGCCCTCCATTGCCACCGCGCGTAGTCTAACGCGGCACCTCTGTATCGTCAACTCGGCGATCCTCTGTTGCAGGTCCCTCGCCCTCTCTTCCGCTGCCACCGCCGGGAGGGAAGTGGGGCGGCGGTAGCTCGTGTAGCTGGCGGCGGACTTGCAAGAGGAGTCTGGGAGGAAGGCGTGGGCGTCTTGCTCGTCGCTCCTCGCCCTGCGCAGCTTCCGCGCTCGAGCTCTACAGAACACCGTGGCCAGTGCGGCAATCAGCAGCACCCCGCCAGCGCAACCGGCCCCCGCGTAGAATATATCGGCCGAGGTGGGGGCTTGCGGTACGCTGTCGACCCTCACCGCCGGCCTCGGCGCCTCTTTGAGACAGATCTTGCGCCGTCTGAAGTTCAGTACAGTCGACGTGGAACCGGTCGTGATGTTCAGGGATATGGTGATGTTGACCTCAGCGGCGACGGTGCCCATGCACGGCAAGTCGACCCGCCACGTCTGCGTCTCGGTGGGCACGTAGCCTTCGCTCGATATGTTGAACGTCGGTGGGTGCATCGCCTCCGGCTCTGATGCGACGTCAACGTGAAGTGTATACGGCAACTGAAACAAAAAATTTATTAAATCTCATCCAAAAAGGTATATCTGCCCTCCCACTAGATCTAGCCGTCGTTTGTGAGGAATATTCATTTTTGACAATATGTTTCTAGATCAGAAATTATTTTTAAAATTCATTAGGTATACTTTGGTTACCATCTTATGATGTCGGCTAACACCAAATTGGTATACATAACTTGAGCCGAAACGCCGGGGAAGTGAAACTTGTCTCATTTTTTCCTTGCGGAATTTTCGAGGTGAGATCATATGACCGTGATACATTCCTAACGGTATGGACCCATCGCGATGTAACTGTAAGCACAACTGACGGACAGGGGGGAGCCGCGGGTCGATCCTAAATGGACGCTTTAAAGTACGCTTCACACTGAACAAGACAATCAGAGCGAATGCCGTGCTGCTCTAGTCAATCTCATCCGATAGTTTCCTTAACGAAGTGCGGGCATTCGTCCCACATATTTTTAACAAACGGCAGCGAAATAAGCGAGATCATGAAAAAAAAACTTATTATTGCTTCTCATTCTACATTCATATCGGTGAGTGGTATGTTATGTGTATCACTGACTATTATAATTATATTTATAGTATATATGTTCATCGGAGTCGTAGATTGTTTCATGATCTCACGAGTCAACGGCGTCGCCCCGTTTGTTGTGAATCGTACCGTAGACGGACCCGCTGTGGCCGGATCAAATGTCGACCGCGAACGCGACCCGTCTCGAGAGCACGAACGCTCCTTTATCGGTGTTTCGTGACGCCGACCGCGACTCATTGCCCGCGTGCACGAGAGGTTCGCCTAGCAAGAGTCCCATTGTTTTCGTCTCCAATAACGTTAGCGCGGCAATACGTGATGCTGGATCGGATGTAAGCAACGTGAGAAACGAACGGAGTTTTTAAACAAATGCCACCCATTTGCTTAGCAGAGGGTTAGAATAGAACCAAACGCTCATCCTGTAAGCACAGAGACAGCGGACATTCATTCTGTTTTGATAATGCCACCGCCTTGCATCATTGCTGCCTTGGTAACTATTGTGAGCACAACGCTTAGCGGACGATGCCGCAGGTGGAATAACGAGGCAATTATACACTAGAGCCGACATGCTCGTTATGAGCGCCTAATCAGCGGGGCGGGCATTGCGTTCAGAGCAAACAGCGGCCCTTTGCGCAGCTGCCTCGCTGCGTAGGTGCGACAGCGTGGCCGCTAATTAAATATTATCAGGGCGGCAGGAACAGACAATGGCGGCGCGATCGCTCATCGGCGCTAGTTAGCCGCTCACCAAATATTTGCCCGCTGCACGCGCGCTCAAAGGCGCCGCCTAAACGGAGGCAGGCGCGTATCTGATTTGCCGACCCCTGGTTATGAGGCGCCGAGGTACGGCCGGTTACAGCACTTGTCTAGTAAACGGTTGATCGCGAGTTTGAACTTCACCGGCGTCTTGTTGTAAGGCCGAGGGCGCGTAAAAGTTTTTTTTTTTCGTGCCTAGATCACACATTTCAGACATCGATCGATTTGACGGTGCACGCGAATAAATGCATCTACATGTGATTGCATGACCCTACTGGTGGGGTCTTAACAAGAACACGGAAAATATAGTCTTTTCGTGGTTTGAACTTAACCTTTACACTTTGTCAGAAGATTAAAAGCAAAAAAAACATCAGACAAATACAAAATATCCTCGTCTTCATAATATCGTCCGAGGGGTTTTTTTCTAATGAGGCTTTGTTAAAGTCTCATCAATTTTGCAGGACAAAAATAACAATGCAAAACGTTCTTCTAATAACTAAGCTATTAATAACTTCTATTAATAAAGTAATAAATGAAATAACAAATTATTGTTCTTTTAATAAAAAGCATAAATCTAAGAGGAAGATCTGAATATAATATATTTAATTTAATTGATGCATTGGTTTGTTTAAAATTTTAATGTTGAATAGATTTTGTAAGATTCACACAGCAATGTACTTTCCACATAATTATATTACATCGCTGACGCGATCGAAAATATCGTGCACGTTTCAACGCGTATTTATTGTTCTCCCATATATGCGTGTTGCGGCGACATTCAAATCGATGTAGTAGCTCGCACTGGGTCGCGCTTGACTTGCAAATGTTGGCCTAAATGAGCAGATGTTTTATAGAGAGGTTCAGTGAACCGAGATGGCCGGGATGCGGCTGTTTGCCACAGAAAGAAAAGCGGAGGGCACCGGGGCAAATAAAGCGGTAACCGATTCGTAAACCTCGGTCAATAATATCTACTTTCTGCCTCGGTTTATGGCGGAGATGTAGACGAGTTTGAAGACCAGGTAAACGCAATGAATGCACATAATATTTGGTTAGTGATGCCGTGTAATAAACCATTGTCGACGATGCATTCGAATAAATCGTTGTATGCATAACGAGACAACGAGATTTTATGTAAAAGAACGAACGTATAAGGGCCGCATCGATGCAAAGACGGCCGTTTACGAATGCCTGGAAACGTCAATCAAACGATTGTTTTGCTTTTATGAGGATCATGTACGATAAAATTATACGTTTTCAAGAAGCCAATGTTTATGAAACGAATACCGAATATAAGAAACGTGAGTGCGTCAGTTAAATGCTAAAACGGAACCTTGTATATAAACAACTTTTGAATGTAAAACTAAAATATTTATTTGATTTGCGTTTTATGCGCCTTGTTTTATTACTATTACATGCAATACCTATAATTTAATGTTCTTTGATTATATTTGATTACATTATATACTTGTTCAGTATATAATGTAGTATTTTTAGCAAGCATATAGAGGGAATCGAATCGACGCCCTTTGATGCAAGAGAGAGGTCTATTATCCACTACGCCAATCGTGTCGTCAAAAAATGCTCTATGTAGCGCTAGAGTTTCTATAATGCCGCTTATTACTCTACTCTAACCCATTCTATTCTATTAATTTCGCCAAACATCGGAACGATTAACGCGATGGGGACTACGAGCGCAATTTAGTCCGGCGTAGGCGAACGCGTCGACAGGCAGGCCCGTAATCAAACAAGCGAGTAAATTAAACCGGCTCTATGATCCCCGCCGAACGGGATTATTATTGCGCCTATATCGAAGCCCTTATCTGCGTCGCTTCAATCACGCTGCCTATACTTTAGGGGCCTGTTTAAATAGCTCTCGTAACTCGTCCGTATAACGGCTAATTTTTTTATGTCATCAGTGAAATTGCGTAATGGTCGATAAGTTTAACTACGTGGCGAATCATACGAAAAGGTTATACGAGTATACATTTTTATGCAGTGTTAGCCAACCAACAAATTTAGAGGTTCTCTTCATGTTGACTACCGCCGCCCATGGACTCCACAACACCTGAGGGGTTGCACATGCGTTGCCATTCTTCACAAAACCTCCACTTCGCGCCTCCCTTCTGTGAGGCTGTGGCACTTCCCCGAACGAGCTTGCTAATACGTGCAACATCAGAAGCAGCATTAACCTATAACTCACAGTGATACCATAGCCCTTTTTCTCCCTAAAAAAAATCAAAACTGTCACCTTATCAATGAAGTTACGACATTTCATGTTGATGTAAACTTAATGTAAATTAAGAATCATATAATATTATAGATATATTCTTTAACTTTTATATATATATATATATATATATATATATATATATTTATAAATTAAAAAAAATATATATATAGTGTGTATATAACATCTATATATATTTATATAATATCTATATATATTTATATTTATTTTATATTAATGATTAAATGTAAAGTATTTATCTTTGAGTAAAGTATATTTCTATAGAATGTACCTTTGTTTTTTTTGTTTTCTTTTATTTATTTCGCGTATTTTGTTTTGCACCTGCGTCAAACTTTCTCTACTCCCAGGCTTGACTGGAAGAGAATGCTTATTAGCATTAAGTTTGCCTTTTGTTTAGCCTAAGTTGAGGTGTAAACAATAAATTTTTAATAAATAAATAAAAATAAATGTAGACCTCACTAAGACAAAGCTACCGTGCAAATCCGAACTTGCCACTATCATTCCATATATTTGTGTTTTAATTCAATTATGGCATTTCCAACTGCAGCTTATTTTCAGTAATTTTTTTAGGTTAACTCGCACTACAGATAAGGGAACTGATTCCTTATATCATGTTTTTAGGTTTTTTTTTACAAAATTTAAAAGAAAATGTGAATCTCGTTTGTGTTTGGCAAAACGGTTCGTAAACAAATTCAGTCGGAAGAAAACAATTTACTAGATCGATCACACGTTAGTGTCAGAATTAATGCGGGTCGTTGACTTAACGCTGACCCTTCCGACAATATAATATCCTGAAGCGTCCGGCCGTTGCAGTGATCGGAGTTGACCGGGAAGCAAGACCACGTCGAATGAAATATCAGAGTAGTAACTATCAAAAACCGCGCTCTGTTAAATGGAGCTTGTAAATAGCTGTCTTCTTTGGTGATAATGGCAGACTCCACGGAACAAAATCTTTATAGTATTGTTGAAAAAATAGAAATTTTATAAACGGGTGACTTAGTAAATCAATGGAGCTGTGATAGCTTTGTGTCCAGTTTTAATTAATTATACACGAACAGCGTGAGTTCAAATCACGTCACGTGCTCAGTGGTGAAGGAAAACATCGTGAGGAAGCCTGCATGTTTTCGAAATACAATATGTAAAAAGAAATATATAAGAAAACGTTTCGAATATATGTGAAGTTTACCAATCCGTTGTGGGGTCTCGTGACGGACTATGCCCTAAAATCCTGTACATAGAAGGTATTTGCCATTCATTGGGGCATGTTATAAGCCGACACTACTTTAGTAAAACAATCACTACTTTAGGGGTATTATTAATTCAGTACTCTTTTACACACCGGCGCTCGTTCAGACTAACAATCTGATTGAACTGTCTCACCCATTACGGTTAAGTAGTATTTATTATAACCTTGTCTTAAAAACTTACCACATCGTTATGTGTACGTAATCAAGAGATCACAGATATTCGTGGTGGTACAAGTTATGCACCACCTGGAGATGGCGCTGTTACATTGTTATGTTACAGCGCCATCTACCGGAAGCGCAGTACAACCCCTGTCGGGGCAAGGATCTTTTAAATTAGATGAGAAATTTACCGGTCGCCTGGTCAGGCTTTGCCACGTGAAGTGCAGCTCGCTAATGGTCGCCGGTACCGGCACCACAAAGTTCAGCGCGTAGAAGTTGATCTGCCCGTCTCGAACGTAGAACAGTTCTGCTGTCAGACCTGTTAACAATACAATTGATAAGTTTGAATAATGAGTAATAAGTCATCCTTACTGGTTAGGCAGTTCTTCATAAGTTTAGCTTAGGATCTTCATCATATAAACATTCGAGTCTATGGTTCAATAAGGTTTAATAAGGTTTCAATGATGTACAGATATTTCAAAGTAATCGAAGTTTTTATAAGTCCAAGGTAACAGAATTGAAGATATCGAAGATATCGATAAAAGTCAGTAAAGTGTGCTTTTACACATATCTAAATAATAAGCGTCCCTCAAACCCACAAAACGGCTTTAAAACACCCTCGAAATTTTCACAATGTACCGTAAGTTGAAACCAAAGGCATTGAAGTCTAACCGGCGTACGATAATCAATACACGGATCAATAACACAATAACGGGAGCAAAAACTGCCAAGTTTTATGCGCACGCGCACAATGAGGCGGCAAGATCAAAGCGCGGCGGCACAAAGATGCCGCAATACTACGCTACCACCTGTCCACAAATCATGAGAACTGTTTTTTTTCTTAATAAATAGAATTAGACATCAACGTGTATCTCGATTTTTATCACGGATGCGTAAACATCATGGTAGGGCAAAAATATGCATTTTCCTTTTTATACTTGACATAAAATTAATATGTATTTCAAAGAAATTTAAATACGTTCAACTGATTATGTAAGAGTATAGGAGTCCCAAAAATACATTGCCGACTTTATATTAGTTTGGACACTTGCCAAATTAATATTCGCACGGTTGTTTTCGAATGAAATAAGGAATTTATTCGGGATAAAAAGCCGAATTTTTAATGAAAGTAATTCAAAATCCGTTCCGCATAATGCAATTAAGCTTTCTAAATTATTAATATTTAATAACTCAACATACATCACAATATACGTACGCAGGAAATTATAGGCATGAGAGTTGATATTGCGGCAAATTATACTCTGAAATCTACTCTATCCTACTCGGTTCTATTTAACAGCAATGTTTACTGCAAACGTCTTCCTTGTTATTATCTATATTCTACATATCTTATATGTATATTTGCTGTGACTATGCCCTGCAAACTACCTTCAATGAATAATTGTGTCTTCAACTCGAGACAAAAATAATTTGAATTACTTAAAGTATTAAGCAGCAAAAATTTACAATCCCAAATCACTAATATAATATGCCTATCTAATCCTTACTAATATTATAAAGGCGAAAATTTGTATGTATGGATGGATGTTTGTTACTCTTTCACGCAAATACTAATGAATACAACTTAACAATAATATAGCTTATACATCAGAATAACACATAGGCTATAATTTATATACATATTTTTATGTATATCTGTCTTTCTGTCTGAATGTTACGCCTTCAGCCTATTCTACGCAGGCGTAGTCGCGGGCAGCAGCTAGTTTTGTCATTTACGACAAGGATTTCGTAAGAAAACGTTTATTTGTGTCCTTATGTAATTACTCAGAATACGAGAATAACCAGAAGGTTATTCTCTTATTCTGCGTAATAACAGTGCAGGAACACTGAAATATAAAGATTAAAAAATTTTAATATACCATTAAACTTAAAAATTATGACTACGAAATATAATAGCTGATGTTTTAGGTGACATGAAGATAGCGTGTCCCGTTTTGGCTGACTGAGATAGTTAATCATGCCTCATTAAGGACAACGGTTTTGTTACATCATTAAATATTTCATGAACGTTCCTCTATAACACTTGATACCATTAAATGATGGTGGGTGGACTTTAACTATGTGTGTACGTTACTTTCTAATTTTAGTTATTCAATAAAATTATGCCAATCACGCCCTTTTGTAGGAATAAATAATATTAAAACCCTCCCAGACTCTATAAATACTAATAACTAGCGTTAAAATTGATGGATAATTTAATTTATGACTTTATTATTTTTATGTGATACATAAAAATAATAACCTTATCAGGTGGAAAGCGATCTGGCGCGATGTTAAGTGATAACCGCCACCGATGGACATTTGTAACACCCGTAGGATTGCACATTTAATACAATGTGCGGTTACCTCACTCTCAATGTGCGGCTACCTCACTCTGGTGAGTGAGGTATGTATGAGGAGGATACTCCTGTATGACACTTTCACTTCACGCCGGTCCTCTGTGAGGTCGTGGTACTTGCCTGGACGGACCTAGCCATTCGTGCAACAGCCGAAGCTGATGCATGTCCCTACCACGGTCAGTGGAAAAACTCTCGCGCAACCAAAATGAATCTTCAACCTCGTTATTTGTACCTATATTAAATTTCACTGGACTCCGGTTGATTATCAGAATAAAGGAACATTAAACGTATATATTATTCAATGTGCCATTCACCCTTGCGTAGAGTTACTCTTGGTATTTGAATAAAAATCATAAAAATTATAAAATATGGCGATTTCTATTCAACCAATATCAATAATAGTGATATAAAGAATTTCTAAGTAAGCGGTGTTTTTTACAATAAACAACCGGTTCATATCCAATATGTCACATGTCGAGGAATCCGTGTGACTCTCCGACCAGTCGAACCGCTCTTTCGGTCGCTATAAATGCCCATTATCGGCGTTGTCTAAACAGCCCGCTGTATCTCTGTGTACAGCGCCCATGCAAATGAGCGAGAGGTCGTTGGCTATGATTAAAATTATAATTTCAACACTTTAACGGCCGTTTGTTTAACAAGACCTCCGCAGATTAAACATTAACCGGGCGGCCGCGTGTAACAGGTGTGGAACACAATACAATTTAAATGCAAATGCTTACGTGAAACTCCCGCGACAAGTGGCTTGAGAAAGTTTGAAAAGGTATAGGCCTAGTTATACTATTACTATTATATTTTTGCTCTATTACATCTTTAAGCATCAGCGACTTTCTACACAAGTTGCTAAAAGTCGACGAAATAAGCAAGAATATTTAACCAATTTTTCGGCTGTTCATTTTCGGACGTCTGATTTATATTTTGTCATAATAAATTATTTTTTTTGTTTGACACTATTTATAAAATCAAATCTTAGGTTCGTGCTCATCCAAATCTATAATAGGTGCGAAACGATGAAATTGTCTACAATTCAAAAAAATGTCGTATTTTATTGATTCGAATTACGTAATGGTTTAAAAAGTTAAGTAAGAACATAACCTTCACTCACGTCTCTGACCATCTTTTTATTTGTTAATTAATTTCGTCTCTCTGCCGCATCTTACGTAGAGCGCGGCAATCTTTGTAAAAATTCATAGATCTATATCTGTTTCTTAATATGTAAAATAAAAACTAACATACCGGAAGCCAAATCGTTGAGAACTATGAGACAAAATGATTGGAATTCCTTCTAGATTAACTAGCATTAAAATTTTAAATATACAAGAGCTGATTATGATGGTATACTATAGTGCATAATTTATTATTAGAATGCAGTTTAAATACCGACGACTTCTTCCCATGTTCGGTAACGAGGTAAAATACTAATTAAAGTAAAATAGGGCACTAAACCAATACAACATAGGTACTTAGTTCATTAGGTGCAATAGTGATTTACGCGGAATGTATGAATGAGTCGTCAGAAACAGCTTGATAAGATTCACAATTTCTGAACAATATTTAAAAAAATTACACTTATAAAAGGAAACCATGTATAAGTTTTTCTTAATGAGGAATAAACATGAGCCTTTAAAGAATAACTATTAACGAAATACTTTTCAAGGTGGATTGTTTCAAAATGATTAATTTAAATATAAAAATAAATATTTTTATTTATTTACATCGTAACATGTAAATCGTCTCATTCTCTTAAGGCACAAAGTGTAAGCCGATGTTTCTTAAATTGAAAAATGTAAAGATGCTACATAGAAATTAAATTCACTAACCATACCATACGAAATAACCAATGGAAAATTCCGTTAGACGTGATAAACATTTAATTCCATTTTTTTTATCAAAATACCTTCAAACGAAACAAGCTTTCATATTTCTATTTGCATAGTTTTCCTTTACGAGAATCGAAACCCGAGGAATAGAAGATTTCTAATTTAGAATAGCGGAATAATTAATATAGTTAATAAATTATGACCACGAAATCTGAATTTGAAACGGATTAAGATTTTAATGGCCACCTACAAAGACGGGACACGGCTGGCACGAGAGCCATCTACGATTTTGATGAGGCAATAAACGTGTTGCGTAGGACCGTTGGTTTTGTTGCATTCCCATTACCCTTAGTGTTGTCCCATAGTAAAGAAATTTAGAAGAAATAATATTGTCTTTACTCTGTTTAATATTTTGAAAATACAAAACTAACCTTCCAACTTGTATGTGTGCAAACTGTACATCTCAAGTAAAAATCGACACTGTAAACCAAAACACTATATGCATAATTTTTTTTTAAATTCAATAACTGGCCAATGATTATCATCTCATCTGATTAATTAACTTCACTTACTCAGTAACAAGCCTTGTAGACACTCACATTATAATTGTTTTGAATTATAATTATTTGCATGCCAATGAAATTGGAAAACTTTATTAACCATATTTCTGCAAATAAAGATGATTGGTCTTCTTCAAGGCAGAAAAGATCGGTATGTTATAGAATACATAAATATGTAAATAAATCCACACGATAAGCGTACGAGCTGTGTCGGCGCATCACTATTTCCCACACGGGCGTAAGTGGCCGTGGCGCGGCTACCGTGCGGCGCGGCCCGTTTGAAGCGGCGGCGAAAATCAAATGGACCACTTGATACGACAAATAGCGAGATAGAGGCCGCCACGGCGCCCACTTTTTGCTCCTCGCCAGCCGACGTTAGAGGCAGGGCCGCCGTTTTCCAATCCATATCGCGGACTCCCTCGGAATCGTTGCCGGGAACTGTGCCGGGCTAATGAGAAACCGCCTCATGCTCCGGTTAACGCGATCCGCCATTGTGTGGTGTGGTATGAAGTTCTCATTGCGCAGTTGGTGATTATTGTGATTTTTTTTTTTTCAAAATTACAGTGCATCTACATTTACCAAAGTAAATAATAGTGGTATTAGTTACTTTTTTTTACCATGGACAACCAACCATGGACATTTGCAGCACCCGTAGGGTTGCAAATGTACGTGCGTGAGGTTTGACCTTCTTGGGCCACCTATTGTGGGTTTCTACGACACCCAGTCCGGTGCAAATGGTGCTTTGCCGGTGCAACTAGCACAGCACGCCCCACGAGACCCTTACTGAGGAGTGGACACCTGATGCCTGCCGCTAGGGGTTTCACCATCAAGGGAAGGTTGCGCGCGTAGGCCAGCCACCTGCGTCCTGGTCTCAAGCCGCACGTAACTGCCTATTCGTGCAATAGCGAAGACTGTTACCGTGGTCCTACCAAAGTTTAACCTATTGTTATTATTCTTCTTCTACTATATTCCTAGCAAATTACTGGTTTTAGACAAATTAGTTAACTCGGGTCTATGCATCTCTCGGTCATCTCGGGACATCTTAACGATCATGTAGACCCATACACCTATGTTGATTATGATACTTTCAGACGATCTATTCATTATCAATTACACAAAAACGAATGTTAGTCCTTTAACTATTTTTACCACGTGAGAAAAATAAAAGCGAATAATATAAAAAATTTCATGTAACCTGAATAGGGTCAACCTTTTGAATCCGTCGCAAGTAGATTGAGATTCGAGAGTAAAACCACGCGCTCCACCATCGTCATTCAGGCGAGCTTTCGCACCTTTTTTTATGTCAAACATTGTCAAGCGAACACACGGTTCACCTGAGTTTAAGTGAATACCGCCGCCCATAGACATCCGCTACGTGGGTTGTAGGTGCGTTGACAACCTTTTGAAAATTGGGCTCCGGCCACCTCACTCACCAGATGAAACGCGAAAGCATGATACTTCCACTTTACGCCAGTCTTCTGTGAGGTCATAGTACTTACCCGGACGAGCCTGCTCATTCGTGCAATAGCCGAGGCTGTTGCGTGGCCCTACCACCGTAAAAACGAATTATGTCCGCACAAAACCACCTACATAATACTAATAATTCATTTCGCTTTGAAGCCGAGAGCGTCGCAAGAAAAATCACGCGCACCGCCATCGCCTTGAGGCGAGCTTTCGCCCCTACGAATAAAGCGCTAATAGGTCAACCGTTTGAATTGCAATTACATTCAAAAGTTATCTGTACACTGTACCGCAAAAAACGAATTATGTCCGCACAAAACCACCCACATAATACTAATAATTCATTTCGCTTTGAGGCCGAGAGCGTCGCGAGAAAAATCACGCGCACCGCCATCGCCATTGAGGCGAGTATTCGCACCTACGAATAAAGCGCTCATTGGCGTCCGTGCAAAAAACCCATTTGTAAGGTACAAAACGGGCGCACAATGGAGGCCGATATTTCGTATAGAAAACTCCCCTCCGTTGAAGGATTTAGGCGCGTAGCTGGCGCATTAATGCGGAATTATGCGTAGGGAAAATAAAACGAAGCGCGGAGGTGACGGGGCGAATGAGGTGAGCGGAATATAATGCGCTGCCTACAAGGGCTCGCCTTGCACCGAAAAGAGCAGACGTTTATTATTTGACGCGCGACGCGTTATGCGTTACTAGCCGGGCACCGACACACGGGAAACCACTAAATAAATAACCGTTCGACATTTTACAACCGCCGCATCCCATCGGAGCGATAATGGTAATCATAAAACGTACACAACGCTCCGAGAATAGCGTTGGACGTCTCGTAAAAATCATCGGGAATGCATAAAGACGCGTATTTGGGTACACCGTGCTGCAACAGTGACAGCTTTATTGGCCGGTGGAAATACGTCGATTCGTTTATAGGCGTCACGTGGACTTGCGTCGTCAGTTGTCGCAACACCGCACTCTCTTTTACAACCACGTATTTAGAATATACAGCATTTATCTAGTTATCCAAGTGTAGGACGAGCTCCCACTAGATGGACGACCTGTGCAAATGCGCGGGAAGTAGATGGATGCAAGTGGCTCAGGATCGTGCTTCATGGCAGTCTATAAAGGCCTTCGTTCAGCAGTGGATTCAAACAGGTTGAAATGATGGTGAAGACGATGAAATCTAGTTAATGTTGTATTATACTGGTATGTAAATAGTTCAAATATGCAATAGCATGCTTAACATCATTATATTTTCATGATGAGGAGCTACTATTTAGCCGTGCTCAGTTTTGTGTTCGGTTTATATTACACAGGCGCGGTGCAGAGGTTTACGTAAATAACGGCTTGCGATTGTGCGACAGGGGAAGGCCAAATTCGTCCATAGATAAACATTACTGCTGTTGTTCCGCGTTGTTAAAATGGATGCGAAATATTTACTCACAGATCGCACATCAAAGAGAAGATTATAAGGGCTCGTAAACAAAGTGCAAATAACAGAAGCGAATAAATTGCGCAACATTAATACAGAATTCCTCGCACCGATGTATCAGGAAGCCACGAAATATAGGGCTATTATTTTTTTTTAATTTTACAATAAAGAATGTAAGCAGGTATAAAAAAAATCCACTCAATAAAACATTCTTACCAATTTAATTTGTATTTGCATACCAAATTTTGTGAATAAAATAAAAGTTTAATATTTCCTTTACATTAGGAAAGTACTACTTGTACTTTAAAAATGTTTGCGTCTCTAAAAAAAATTTTATTACTTTTTTAGTTCGTTAATTGGTCAGACACCTTTATTAAACACCTCATACAACAAATGTGCATTATATACCCAAAACTCTGCTAAAAATTAAAGTAATTAAATGAAACCAACCCAATGTAGGATACATGTCGATGTGACAGTCTAGTAACAAGGTACTTATCACCAGCGGGTTTAGCCGAAAAAAGCTACTTTGGGTTCTCCATTACACGGTCATCGAGTAATTTACCACCCGAGTGAATTGTTATATATTTTTTGTCCTCGAAGGTGGCATCCAATAGATCCTTTTCAGAAACCAACCCTATCGTCGATAATTCATAAAATTAGCGTTTCCTAAGCGACGCCTATACATAGATATAATGTAATTGTAAATAAAAAAAAGTACTACTATAATAATATAAAATGATTAAATATATAAAGAGTATGTATGAAAATGACAAAAACTGTAGGTAAAACTCGTATAACGAAGGTTCTTTTAGCAAGGCGTCTACTTAATTTCTTGTGATTCTTATTTTGCTAGCAAACCAGCGCTTTGCGCATGATTTTTTTCTAGTGATGCGCCAAATACGAGTTCAACCAAATACGAATATTCGGCGAATCTCTAATTCACGTTACGCCAACCGTAGAGTGAACTGCTTCACGCGGGCATAGAGCCGACTGCTGTCGATTGGAAAAAACCCTACCATGATCGAATCGAGTGAAAGACTTTTTTTAGAAATCGACCGGATGCACGTCGGATACTACAATTCGTCTTCACCGACCGATATTTACGCCTGTTGAAACATACACAAAACGGTTATTAAATATTCCCTTATAGGTACATTACCGTTATCGAAAATGTCTATTTATTTTTCATTTCATAAATACATTAAATTAATACGGTAACCAACTTTTGCAACATAGTAGTGACGAGTAAAGTCCTATACGTACATATGTTCCACTGCTGGTCAAAGAACTCCTATGTAATTATACAAGTAGAGTCCTATTATATAATTTCTTGTCTTATGTTTATTTGCGGAAATTGATAACTAACGAAATTAATTCTAGATAATGGCTAATTACAGTTTCTGAGGAGGCGTTAGCTCAATATAATTGGTACGTCTATCCTATTTCGGATCAAGATAGACGTAATTTGAGTAAAATGTATGTAAAGAAAACCGTCTCGCATTAAAAAATAAAAATGACGAAATTCATAAACACTACAGCATAAATACTACAACATAACAAATATAACGGCAGTTATAAAGGGATTCGCTGCATATTTTTCAAAGCGCAACACCTACTAGCTAAACGTTGGATACCTTGTGAAATCAAGAGGTAGCGAAGCAGGAATACATTAAGTGCGTGGGGCAACGAGGGCTTCTCGGGGAGCGTAATGCGTGTAATAATCAACACCGTAGCTCTCCGTCGCCTCGCAACCCTGAATCCCCCCAGATCCATTAATTAAATCACTACAATTACACAGCGTTACACGAATGCGCGAACGTAAATAAACACGAACTGTTTTTAATTAATTAATTTGATTTAGCCAGTAGCGCGGAAGCTGTTCACTTTAGCCGTAGTTATTCGCATCTATTATATAGATATATATTATATCATATAGTATAGATGTGGATGGGGCAAAAGGTGCGTAAATGTCGCGGAAAGTGGAGGAATTGGCTCGTGTTTTATTGTCATCCAACGAAATTTTTACTAGAACTTTCCAGTGATCGCCTTAGGTTCCCCGCTAGTACTAATGAAGCTTTAGATAGATGATAAAAATGAAATTTATTTACTCAACTCTTGTATACAACCTACAAGGAAAAATTACTTAGTTGTCAATACAACTCATCAATATGAGTCTTATGAAAATTTATATAATTCGGAAGTGTGAAATTAACGATACGGAAAGAGCCACTAACAACTTCTTCAAATGCCCCTCGCATTATCTTGGGTTTCGATGCTTATTAATAAAACAATGTGTTAACAAAAAAAGCTTTTATCCGCATGAATCCCTAATAAATATGACAAACAGCGTCGTAATATTACCATCTTATCGGTATGTCTGGACGAGCTGAAAAAAAGATCGATAAGAAATAATAAATGGACACGTTTGTACAAATAATGCTAATGAATACGACAACTTAATGTGCATACATAATTGCCTTGTGGCCTTATCAGCTTAATTTGTC